CGGCGAGCCGCGCAGACAAGGGGGAGGAGGCGGTGGCGCAGCGGCACGAGAGCAGAGGCGGAGCACACGGCTAGCCTGCACGCCATGGCGACAGCGCTGGCCGTCAATCCAGTTGTAGGAGGGCGGTGGCGGATCCCCCACCTCACCCTATCCATGGGAGCCACCGCCGGATGCCTCCATCTTCGCTTCCCGCCATGCCCGTGTCTCCGCCGCCCGCCACAGTCTCCGCTTGCCCGCCGCCGCCGCCGCCCTTCCGTCGTCTCCCAACCGCCGAACGCCGCGCCGCTACTCCCGATCGCCAGACACCGCCGTCGTGCCCACTGCTGCTCAGGTGGTGAAGAGAAAGGCTAGGGGAGAGAGAGGGACGATGAAGAAGGGGAGGAGAGAGGATGACATGTGGGCCCCACATGTTAGTGGGTCCTGCATGTCATCCTTTGTGTGAATGATAAATGAATTATTTTTTAAATTCTAATGCCACTTTAGCACCACGTCAACGCCACATGTAAAGAAGATCTAGTCAATACCGCCACGTAGGCGCCACGTCAGCAAAACCGCCCTCCAAAACCGCCAAGAGAGTCAAATTGCACCGGTTTCAATAGTTTGGGGTCGAGATGTCCGGTTTTGTGATTTAGGGTCATGGATTAGATTCGGGTAACTTTCAAGGGAGTCAAAATGAACTTATTCCACACGCAGAAGAGAGGGAGTTTAGCCAACTTCCGGCCCAACAACAAGGAGGGGAAGGAAAAGACTTTTCCTTTTTTATTAATTCGATAAACAATTTTAGCTATTAAATTTATTTCCTTTTGTGCTGAAAATTTGAGTAAAAATCCAGTTAATAGTTTTGGTACATGGGGAATTTAGAAAATTTCACACCAAGTCACAGATCATTTATTAATTAAGGTTTTAATTTAGGTCTTTACTTTAGGTTAATTTAAACAGTTTATTTGAGCGATTTATTAATTGCATTAAGGCTCTAGGAAGGAAAACTTCAGGGCTTACCTCCTCCCCAACCCTACCTCTCACACCGACTCTGAATCCTAATTCTTATTCTGTGCACAAAGATCTGTGGTGATCAGGTTCGACTGATTAATTTTTCAGCACTTCTACGCGTACTAAAATTTTCTTACAAAACTCTTACTAACAAATTTGTTAACCGTTTGATTTAGATAGATGGAAATTAAATAAAATCTAGATTTATTCGCATCTTGCCACATCAGATTTTATAAGAAAAAATTAGTACCCATAGACTTGTCCTCAATTTTTCAGTTGAATGACGAACAACAGAGTTGTTTTTAGGGGTTGGCTCACGGGCACAAAAGATCGCCAAGTCTCGTGGCGTGTAAATGTATGTCTCTGTTATACAAGTTGTGGTTGCTGATTAAAAGGTAGGGAGAAAGCTCAAATCTATCTATCTATCTATATATTATATTATATTATTAAAACAGTTTTGAAAGGAGGCACCACGTTCGCTGTGGGGCTAGAAATTTCCACATTAATCGGAGAAAAAAAAGAAAAGGAGAGTCCAAGTAGAAATACGATTTAAAAATAGCTGAAATTCGAAATTAAAAATAAGTAATATTGAAAGAAGTTTCCATATAAGAACACAGTATGAGATTAATCAAAATTCGAAATAAAAATAAAAAAATACAAAATTAGAAAAGAAAAGGAGAGTCCAAGTAAAAATACGATTTAAAAATAGCTGAAATTCGGAATTGAAAATAAGCAATATTGAAAGAAGTTTCCATAGAAGAACCCAATACGAGATTAATTAAAATTCGAAATAAAAATAAAAAAATATCCAAAATTAGAAAAGGAAAGGAGAGTCCAAGTAGAAATACGATTTAAAAATAGTTGATATTCGGAATTGAAAATAAGCAATATTGAAAGAAGTTTCCATATAAGAACCCAATACGAGATTAATCAAAATTCGAAATAAAAATAAGACAAAATCCAAAATTAGAAAAGGAAAGGAGAGTCTAAGCAGGAATACAATTTAAAAATAGCTGAAATTCGGAATTAAAATAAGGAATATTAAAATAAGAGTGAACCCAATACGAGATTAATTAAAATTCAGAATAGGAATTAAAAATAAGCAATATTGAAAGAAGTTTCCATTTAAGAACCCAATATGAGATTAATCAAAATTCGAAATAAAAATAAAAAAATCCAAAATTAGAAAAGGAAAGGAGAATCCAAGTAGAAATACGATTTAAAAATAGCTGAAATTCGGAATTAAAAATAAGCAATATTGAAAGAAGTTTACATATAAGAACCCAATATGAGATTAATCAAAATTCGAAATAAAAATAAAATAAAATCCAAAATTAGAAAATAAAAGGAGAGCCTAAGTAGGAATACAATTTAAAAATAGCTGAAATTCGGAATTAAAAATAAGGAATATTAAAATAAGAGTCCATATAAGAACCCAATACGAGATTAATTAAAATTCAGAATAAAAATAAAAATAAATCCAAAATTAGAAAAAGAAAAAAAAGAAGAGTTCAAGTTGGAATACAATTTAAAATTTGCTGAAATTCGGAATTAAAAATAAGCAATATTGAAAGAAGAATCCATCTAAGTACCCAATACGAGATTAATTAAAATTTCTAATAAAAAATAAAATAATATCCAAAATTAGAAAAATTAAAAGAGTATTCAAGTAGGAATACAATTTTGAAACAACTGAAATTGAAAATAAAAAATAAAAACATTAAAAGAACACAATACGATATTAACTAATTTTTTAAAAAAAATAAATTCTGAAATTATAAAAGGAAAAATAATATTTCAATTAGAAATACAATTTATAAATAATTAAAATTTGTGATAAAAATAAAGACTATTGAAAGAAAATACTATCTAAAACACGTGATGAGATAAAATTAAGTAACAGGCCTATAAAGGAGTAAAGTGGTGGCGGTTGATACGACATATAAAAATTATTAATAAAATACAAAATAGAATGCTAATGGCGATTAAAAGGAGGGACGTCAGGCATGCCGTAAAGCAAACAAGTAAGGCGGTTGCCGGGACTTCTAGAAAATATAAAAAAAAACCCATTGATAATAATATTCGATTTTTAAAATCTCAGTGACAATAAAAAGTATAGTTGCAACGGGTGGGGTGTATAAGAGTATAGTTGCAGAGCCGCCGACGATTGATGGGACTTCTAGAAAATAAAAACATGAATTCCAACGATAGTTATATTCAATTTTTAGAATCACAGTGACAATAAAGAGTAGGCAGCAGACGGGCTGTAGAGAGGCATAGTGGCATCATTTGGTGGGACTTCTAAAAATTATAAAAAATAAAAGGAAAATGAACGAATTACCCCCCGAACTATCGCGGTCGGCTGAACTCCCCCCCCCCCCCCCCGAACCCGAAAACCAGACATGACTCACCCTAAACTTTCAATACCGGACGAATTACCCCCTTGACCCAATCCAGAGCGGTTTTGTCCTACGTGGCGTACACGTGGCAACCTAGTCAGCATTTTCTTTTTTAAATTATGGTGGGGCCCACATGTCATAGTCTCTCTCTCCTTCCCCTCTCTCACTCTCTCTCTCTCTCTCCCTCACTCGGCGAGCACGGCAGACGACGGCTACGGCGTGGGATGGGAGGCGGCGGCAGCGGCTCGGGATGCGGCGGCTGCGGCGTGGGATGCTGAGGCGACGGCGGCGGCGGCGGCAGCGTGGGATGCTGCGACGGCGACAGCGGCGTGGGAAGTGGGATGTGGGGAGGAGCGGGGACAGGAGCTCGAAGGCCACCGCAGTGGGCTTCGACCACCGGTGCGCCGCGATATCCAAGATGGTGAGGCGGCGCGGGAGGTAGAGCGGCAAGTAGAGGAGGTCGACAAGGCGGCGCACGAACGTTCTTGGCGCAGAGGTGGGCTTGGAGGAGGAGACGGGGAGTGGAGGCAGCGACGAATGCGGAGGCGCCGCCGCCGACTCTTCCCATGCCGCCGCCGCCTCCGCATCCCACGTGGCCACCGCCGCTGCCGCCGCCGCCTCGGTGTTCTACGCCGCCGCCGCCGCATCCCACGCTACAGTCGCCGCCGCCTCTGCATCCCACTTCCCACGCCGCCGCCGTCTCCGCATCCCACGCCGCAACCACCGCATTCCACGCTGTCGCCGCCGCATCCCACACCGCCACCTCCCATCCCACGCCGCAGCCGCCGTCTGCCTGCTCGCCGAGTGAGGGAGAGAGAGAAAGTGAGAGAGGGGAAGGAGAGAGATAGTATATGACATGTGGGCCCCACCATATTTTAAAAAAGAAAATGCTGACTGGGTTGCCACGCGTACGCATTGTAGGATAAAACCGCTCTGGATTGGGTCGAGGGGGGTAATTCGTCCGGTATTGAAAGTTCAGGGTTAGTCATGTCTGGTTTTCAAGTTCGGGGGGAAATTCAGCCGACCGCAATAGTTCATGGGGCTAATTCGTACTTTTTCTAAAATAAAACTACGTTCAGAACTTTTAAAAAGTAAAAAAAAACAATGATAATCATGTTCGATTTTAAAATCTCAATGACAATAAAGAAGGGAGGCAGTGGGCGAGCCGTAGAGGAGTACAATAGCAAAGCAGCTGACGGTTTGGCGGGACTTTTAGAATGTAAAAATGAACCTAAATGATAATTAATTATCTTTGTTTTTAAAATCTCCATGACAATAAAGAGAAGAGACAGTGGACAGGCCGTAGAGGAGTATAATATCAATGTTCGACGGGACATCTAGAAATTATAAAAATGAAACCCAACGTGACAATAAACTCTAAAAACTATAAAATCCAATTTTTAAAGGTTCCATGAAGAATGAATAGAAATAGTGATATATCGAGTAAACAAATAAAGAAGAAGATGACATAAGGGGTAGCAACTGGTGTGACTTTTAAAAACTATATAATTAAAAACACGAGGATAATAAGGTTTGATCTTTCAAAGTCTTAAGACAATGAGATAGCTATTTAATAAATTTTAAGTAAAATCATACTAAAAGAATATATGATTTTGTTTGGGTGCTAGCCGCGCAATTGCGCGGGCCAATCAGCTAGTTAAGTTCATGGCTCGGATTGGTCGAACTCAATAATTAAGTCGAGCCGAGCTAAACTTATATCTCGTTATTATCCACCCGTACCGATGAAATGAAGCGGAACTGTAAGTTCGTAACAATCATTTGGATTATGTTCTGCAAGTTGGTGGCAGTGGCACTATACATGACTGACGAATGACAGTAGTTTCGTCTCCGACCTGCACGAAAATATCCAGCACCAAAGATGTACAGAACAAACCTGAACGTCGTTTACACGAGCTCGCCGTTGTTATCCATGTCGCTCGCGCCAGAGCTGGACAAGACGGCGGCCTCCTCCTCCTCCATGGTGTCCGACAACCTCCTCCCCCTCGTCTCCGGCAGGCAGGTGACTAACAGCCCGAGGCAGCCGACGGCGAGCCCGAACACGCCGAACGACGACGACCAGTAGCTCGTCGTCTCGCGGCCGAGCGCGACGAGCACGGGAGCCACCACGCCGCCCAGCGCCACCGCCTGCCGCACCAGCCCCACCGCCGAGTTGCGCACCGACGTCGGGAACAGCTCGATGGTGTACATGAGCATCATGTCGTACGCCGTGCACGACGCGAAGAACGAGGCCACCTCGGCGGCCATCCGCGCGCCGTCCGGGAGGACGACGGCGGGGACGCACGCGGCGAGGCTGCACAGCCCGGACGCCGTGGTGAGCGCGACCACCGAGCCGCGCCGGTTGAACCACCTGCCCATGAGGAGCCACGCGAGGATGGACGACGGGAGCTCGGCCACCGCGTTGTACGCCACGCTCAGGTAGAGGTTGGAGGGGCTCAGGCTGCCCACGTTGAGCGGCATCCCGTAGTAGACCATGCCCACGCCGAAGCTCGCCGCAGTGATCGCCGCCAGCCTCCGGAGCGCCCGCCGCCGCTCCCATATCGAGTGCAGCGTGGCGAACATGCCCTCGCCGCCGTCCCCGAGCTCCACGGCGCACGCGTCCAGCATGGAGAAGCTCGACGTCGTGATGCCTCCGCCGCCGCCGTTGAGCGACGCGATCTGGCGCACCGCCTCGATGGCCTCCTGCTTCCGGCCGCGCACCAGCAGCCACCGCGGCGACTCCTGGACGAGCAGGTAGAGCAGGACGGCGTAGCAGAGGGACGGGAGCGACGTCCACACGTACATGTTCCGCCACGACGCCTCGCGGAACGTGTACGCGAGCGCCGGGAGCGACACGAACCCGACGGAGAAGAAGACGAATCCCGCGGCGCTCACCGTGTTGCGCCACCGCTTCCCGTCGAGCTCCGTGGACAGGACCATCGCTGACGTGCCCACCATGGACCTGCCGAACCCGGACACGAACCGCAGGGCGGAGTACACCCACACGTTCGGCGAGAACGCCGTGAGCGCGGCGGCGACGGACATGGTCACCAGTGACAGGAGGAGCATCTTCCTGCGGCCCAGGTGAGTGTCGGCGAGCGTTGCGAGTAGGAAGCCGCCGGCGAGGTTGCCGGCGAAGAACGACGACGCCGGGAGGGAGACGAGCGCCGGGCCGCAGTTGAGTGCCCAGTCCGACACCACCGACGTCTCGGCCGGGCGGTCCCACTCCCACGTGCCAGGCGGGAGCGCGCACGGCGAAGCGGAAGCGGCCGGCGGCGAGCAGGACGAGCCGGAGTCGGCCGCCGCCGCCGCAGCCGCGTCGACGACGCCGGTGCAGTGCCATGGCGGCTCCGCGTCCGTGAACACGGACATGAACACCTGCTGCGCGTCGAAAGCCCAAGCGAAGGCCAGCAGCATGGCCTTGAGAAGCTGGCGGGCGCCGGTGGCGCCGATGTACGCCTCGATGACGTCGTCGATGGACGGCTCTGCTTCATGGCTCGTCAGCAGCGGGGTGGTGGTGGCCGCTTCGGCCATGGGCGATTTGGCGAAGTTGAGTGCTCACCTCTACTGATCTCTCACGATGCCAGTGGTAGTATCGGGGAAAATTAAGGGCGTGTTTGGTTGGCTGTATCAGCCTGGCTCGCATCTCCGGATGCAACTTGCAAGCTTGTTTGGATGCCTGCAGACGTCTCGGAGCCAGGCCGAGCAGATGCTGTTGAGCCGAAACCAGGAGACGTTGGTCGAGAAGGCCAACGGGCGATCGATCGTATTTTTTCTTTTTTTTTTCTTTTTCTCTTTTAATAAGTTTATACACCTAAAGTTTACACATCTAAAATTTATCCACCTAAAGTTTGTAAAGAGAATGTTTATAAGTCAAAAGTTTATATACCCGATTCAAATTCGAATTCAAATTCGAATCCAAATATTTTATAATTTCCTCTTTTTAGTAAGTTTATACACCTAAATTTTATACATCTAAAGTTTATCCACCTAAAGTTTATAGAGCGAATGTTTATAAGTCAAAAGTTTATATGCCCGATTCAAATTCAAATTCGGATTCAAATATTTTGTATATAAAATATTTCTATACATAAAGTTTATGCGTGTAAAGTTTACAGTATAAAGTCTATGCACATGAATGAGAGTATTAGATTTTTTTATTTTTTTACTAACTTTGTTTTTTTTTTGAATTTTATGATGAAAGGAAAGAATAGAGAGGAGTATAGGGGGAGGGGCGGGTTGATCGATCACCCGCCCATTAGATTCCCCCGACGTTGGTCTAACCGGGAGAAAGTCTTGCTACACCTTAAAAGCTAGCTCAAGAGGTGAGGGACTCCCTCTACTTTTAAATTGGTTCAACTCCCCCTAAATTAGCAATGTGGGACTATTCCCAGCAATCTCCCCCGGTCACACATTGGTGCCCCTCAGCACTAACAGGCCCCACACACGGACACATACGGGACTCACACCCGCGGCTTGTGCACACACATATGGGCACATACGGACCTCACACCCGCGGTCCACTGGGATTTGGGCTTACACCATCCTGAGTGCTGAGTGTGCACAAGCACTAGAGCACATTGGTGCTCCTCAGCACTGACCGGCCCCACACACGAGCACATACGGGACTCACACCCGCGGTCACACATTGGTGCACATATGAGACTGTATGGAAGAACGACGACGAGGTTTCCTGTGAAGAACGACGACGCCGGGAGGGAGACGAGCGCTGGGCCGCCGCCGCTGCAGTTGAGCGCCCAGTCCGACACCACCGACGTCTTGGCCAGGCGGTCCCACTCCCACGTGCCGAGCGGGAGCGCGCACGGCGAAGCCGAAGTGGCCGGCGAAGAGCAGGACGAGCCGGAGTCGCCCGCCGCCGCCTCAACCGCATCGACGACGCCGGTGCAGTGCCATGGCGGCTCCGCGTCCGTGAACACGGACATGAACACCTGCTGCGCGTCGAAAGCCCAAGCGAAGGCCAGCAGCATGGCCTTGAGAAGTTGGCGGGCGCCGGTGGCGCCGATGTACACCTCGATGGCGTCGTGGATAGACGGTGCCTTGGCCGGTTTTGCTTCATGGCTCGTCAGCAGCAGGGTGGTGGTGGCCACTTCGCCCATGGGCGATTTGGCAAAGTTGAGTGCCCCCTCTACTAATCTCTCTCGCCATCGATGGAACATGCTAGTGGTAGTACTTGGACGAGGCTCCTCTGACTTTAAGTCAGAGGGACATTATGAAGTCTCTCTGACTTTACGTCAGAGGAGCTCCGTCCGTAGTATTTATATGCCAAAGCCGGTGCGATCTATGTTTTCATAGATCGAGGGGATGCTGATATATGACCGCGCGTGGTCAGTTCCCCTTACACCTTCCCAAGTTCCTACGTAATACCTACGTTTTTTAACGTATAAAGCTATTGACTTTTTGACAAACTTTTATTCGTCTTATTTAAAAAATTTGTTCAAATATAAAAAGTTTTAAATCATACTTAAAAAACATTTGTCAAACATAGTCAATATATTTGTTTATATTTGTGCGTTTATAGTTTGTAAATTAAATGATTGGATCCTTTTATGTTCTGAACAAATATGCACGATTAGGGATGAAAATGGTCGAAAAACGTCTCAAGTAACCATATTTTTTTCTCGAAAACTAAATAAAAACAGTAAGGCTCGAAATGGTAACAGGATCATAAATATCGGAAAATCAAAAACATAACTATACTGAGGACTTGATCAGAATTAAAACGATATCGAAAATATTGAATTATAGAATCTCACATTTAACTTTACATAACTATATAAATATATAATATGACATCTAAGGTTACATTACAATTTATTTTCCTTTTAACCTTATAAATCAAGGTAGGGATTTGGTTCAAAAGTTGATGGGCTCAATGTTAACGATCAAATTTGGTAAGGCCGTGGGCCGGATTCAAAGCCAGAGTCAAAGCCGATTTGAAGGAATTCCGTTTATGGAAATCAAAGTTCGTATCGGCTACGAGCGGCATCGGCTGCCGTATGTATCGATTGACACCAAATCCAATGAAGACAAGCCGATGCAACCAGTCCCGAAAAGACGACCCCGTAACTATCATCGGGATCAATCAAAGCACCTCATAGGCATTGCCACGCAAGGATTGGAGTCCAGAAAAGGGCAATTATATCAATTAATTAGGATATTTTTAGTTTCCTTAGAGATATTTTTGGTAAGAGTTCGCCTAAGGGACTTGTTCGTATTTTAAATTGTAATAGAGATAGAGTCGTGTCCAGCAAGAACATGTTATCTACTACGGGTATAAATATGGCCCGACACCTTGTAAACAAGTGACGACAATTCAATAATACTTTGGCGCATCGCCACCATTTTTCTATTTTCATTGTTTCGACGAGTTTTTCCTTTTGAGTTGGGCTGCATCAAGTTCGATCTCCGACGAAAAAGGAAAGCTTGTTATGGCGGTTTGCATTCTCGGGATTAGTGCTTACATCTTTATGACACTCTAATCCTGTCCATGTGAGTCACCGAGTTATCATATATGTTGTATAATCTAGATCGATTTCGTTGTCTAACCTCATCGGCTAGCATCTATCATCGAAAAAGGCCGATAGGTTTAGATATCGACATCGAGTTAGATTAAATAGTGTATCTACCATCTTGAATGAGTCTTCATCAATTTGTTTAGATCTTACGTTTCTTTTCACACTTAATGCTGCATTGGTTAGGTTTGATCCGTTAAGTAAAGTCTTGAACCGTATTATCTAACTCTTTCTATGAATACTAATAGAGATAGCATCAGGGTTTTAGCCGATCTTACCTGATTTAGTTGTCTTGTTTCCCTATTTGGTTCTTGATCATCTAAATCCACCCTTTATATTAAAATCTCACCTGTTTGAAATATATTATGCTCTCCATCAGTCTGCTAGTTCACCCTGCTTGCTAGATTGATCTGTGTTTTATATATTTCATCCGTACTGATATCTTAGTATAAGGTGGTATCGGAGTACTAGCTGATACACGTTAGGTTTGCTCTATCGGCTATGATGTGAGCATACGCAATCTCTACTTTGAAGCACATTTAGATATTAAGTGATTTATACTGTTTCGGCATACTGCCCGATCTATCCCAATCACTTGATCCAAATGTAATTCATTGGATAAACTACGTATTCCTGACATCAACAGCCGATCAAGTAGATCTAATATTTTTTTATGCTTTATCTTCCCTCGCCGATCTGATGCAAGTTACATCAGCTTGGCTTTGAACGATACATCATCGGCAATCTAGCCGTTTGGCTATCGTTGATGGATTTAACTTTATTCCTCTTTGTTTCTTGTTGGTTGCAGGATCAAACCAACTGGCACGCTCAGAACCCGAAGACACTTTTGGACCTGCACTAGATATAAGCAGACCTCTCAGGCCAGTGCATGATTTTCCACGTCAACACTCAAATAAAGAGTTGGACCATAAATATTTTTTAAAAAAGGGTAAATTCCACTGCTACAAAAATATTTTTTTGTGGACGCACTCGAATTTTATTGCGGGCAGGTTAAAAGAACGTCTACATTTAAAAAGGTCTACATGAAAAAAAATGAATTTTCGCATGCGACCCTTTTAATAGGTCCGCCTTGCACAAGATCCATCCCCTTCCCCCTTTTCTTTTCTCTTAAAAAAATCTTCTTGTGCTCCATCCTCCCCTCTCCTCCCTTATCCTGTCCTCTCCCCCTTCTCCAGCTTCCCCGTTTCTCACCACCTCCCCCTCCCCACCCGAGGCCAAAGGGAGCAGTGGTGACTTGGGCAATGACGGCGGGCGGATCCGGCGCCAGCGGACGGGGCGACGACGACGATGGCTCCTCCGTCGTTCTTCTCTCTCTCTCTCTCTCTCTCCGCTCCTCATCCTCTTTCTCTCTCTCACTCTGCAGGTTGACGAAGGCACACGAGGAGGCCGGTGGATTGCAGATCCAATGTCGGCGGGTCTAGTGACATGCGAGGAGGCTGGTAGAGAAGGCCCACGAAGACAGCGGCAGCGGCATCGCGTCCTTGGGGCGTCTCTACTGCGTCGGTAACGGCTAGCCCTCCTCACGGATCCCGCACCGCCGACCATCTCCCTCATGGATCTGGCTGCAGTGGCCCTCTCCCTCGAGAGGAGCGAATCCGCTGCCGCCGGCCTCGGGTGCAACGGGGTCTCGACGACAACGATGGTGGTGGCAGACTGCATCGCCTATGATGGTGGCTAGGATGGATTTGAGTTAGCGTTTCGACTTTTTTGAACTTATTTTTGTTATTTTTATTTTTGCAAGCGGACGGCTTAACTGACTATGTGCGGAAATCACTTTTTACATGCGGTTGTGCATCCATACCAAAAAATATTGATTTTTATAGACTTCATGGGAAAGCGTCAAAGCGGTTACGCCTGCATACGAAAATCACTTTTAGCCGTATGCAAAAAAATGTTTTTTTATAGTGTTCAGAAACTGTCGGTATACAGCAAAATTGTTTGTCTCTATTTTTTACTTTTTTTATCAGTTATATTTTCGTTATTATATTTAACCATTTTCACATTACTCGGCCGGTAAAAATAAAAAAGAAACGGTCGATCGGGAATTTCTATCACCGTTCTAACCCCTATGCACGATCGATGGGCTTGCGCACAAGCTTCTGCTGCATGTTCAGACTTCAGAGTGGGATGATTTATTGATCGAAAGAGAAGAAAATTGTATTATTGGTTTATTTTCTCTTGTATAATTTCATTGTCAGAATGGACGGTAGAAACTAGAAATGGACGCATCAATCTGAGCCGTCCGTTTCTCATAGATGGGCAGGTAGATAGATGGACACTAACAAAGCCGGCCGGGCACGCACGCATGCTCGCGAACGCGGCGGCGTTGTCAGAGTCAGGCCGTCGGGTAGAAGGGCGAGGTGGCGAGGCCGCAGGTGCCCTGCGGCCACCACACGTCCTTGGCCAGGTACACGTAGCCCTGCTCGCCCCAGTCGCTGCTCCACGAGTTCTTGGCGATCCAGTACTTGTCGCCGCCGATGTTCTCGCAGTAGCCGACGATGGTGACGGCGTGGTTCATCCTCCCGGGGTCGCAGGGGCCCCGGTACACGCCGCCCTTGTAGAACTGGAACTCCGGGGCGCTCGCGTCGATGTACACCGTCACCGGCTGCCTTGCCACGGCGAGGGCCAGCTGCCGCTCGTCGTTGGGCGGCACGGCGGCGAAGCCGGACACGGACGCCGAGTGGTCGGACAGCAGCTTGCCCACGTCGCAGCCGCCCCTGGCGCCCGCGTACGGGTACCTCTCCTCCGACGTGACGCCGCCGCGGGAGGCCACCAGGCCGAGCGCCGTGTCGGAGCGCCCGCCGCCGCACCCGTTGCTCCCGGTGTCGCAGTCCACCATCACCTGCTCCGACAGCGACACCAGCTCGCCGGTCTTGATCCTGTGCAGGCCCTCGATGGCCGCCACCGCCGCGAACGCCCAGCACGACGCTGCCATTGATTTAATTCCAAGTTTCCAACTCAATCAAATCAGCAAGTAATTGAACGAGAAACGCCTAGCATGTCGATGTAGCTTAGCTTACCGCAGGAGCCCTGGAGCTTGACGCCGGTGACGGCGCCGCTGGAGCGCCAGTCGACGCAGCACGGCAGCCACGAGCGCGGCGGGATCGGGCTCGGGCTGGGCGGGGGAGCCACGAACCCGGTGGCGTTGAACCCGGTGAACTGGCGCACGAACTCACCGGAGGCGAGGTCGCCGAAGAGGTTCATGCCGACGAAGGAGTCGGTGACGGTCTGCGGCGCGAAGGCGCCGACGCCGGAGGAGATCTCCGTCTGGCTGCGGAAGGCGCCGATGAAGTCGGTGTTGGCCTTCCACACCTGGTACCGCTTCTCCTGCTCCTCCGGGCACGAGTAGCGCTTCGAGTACTTGGACATCCACTGCGAGAACATGAACCTCATCTCCCTGTCGGACTTGTCGCACGACGGCCGCTGCAGCGGCGGCGGCGGCGGCGGCGGGTTCGCCGCCACCAGTAGGAGTTGCAAGAGGAGGCAAGTGATGGACAAGACAAGCCCGAGGTGAGGCTTGGAAGAAGCCATTTTGGTTAGATTATGTTGTGATCTTGTGTACGTAGTGCGTGCAGCTAATTATGTTTTTCGATGGTAATATGGGATATATGCTGCAGAGCAAGGTTTATATAGACCTCTTGACCATTCGAATTCATTGATGCTTGCTAGTATATTGCTTTCTGACTTGGCAATTGTCGAGTGTGTAGGAGAAGGAAGAAATAATAAAGTTAGTTGGGTCAGTAGGAAGGAGATCAGGGTTTTCAATTTCGATTTCGGCTAAAATTTCAGCCCTTTCGGTAGAACCAAAATTTTGGTAATTTTTGGGCCGAAATTTTCTGAAATTTTAACACAATTTAACTGAATTTGACTAAATTTTGATTAAATACATAAAAATTTGAGAAAAACCAAAAAATTCGGCCAAGATATTGGTATGTCGGGGAGTCCGGAAATTTCGGTAACCGAAATGTCAATCCCTGGGAAGGATGGTTATACGGTAGGACTATACTAGTTGGATGCCCCCATAACAGGAAACATTATTATAGCATAAACAATAATTACGTCTGATTGTAATGATCTTCACAAATTAGTAATAGGAACGGTGAAAAAAATTATTACAAATGTGATAAAACGGCACTTAATAATTCCAAGGTCATCAAGAGGATCAAAGTTTGGAAGTCTACTAAAATATCAAAGTTTGAAAATATAAACACGACCGGTAATTCCTCCATAGTAAAATGAGAGCATTTATGGTGTTTGCGAGATACTTAGAAGTATTGAGAGGTGGAGTAATATGAGCCGTTGATTAAGAGATGGGTAAGGTATGGAAAAAAATTATTGTAATCGATGGCGCAGTGGAGTAATTACTAAGTAAATTGTGGGTATTCTAGTGGATTGAATACTGATTGCATTGATTCGGTACCGTTCAATACGAACAACGTAAATCAGGCATTAATTTAGTTATTGAATAGATCTCATGGAAAAAAACCAGATTGGATCTTTTTTTTCTTCTTCCCCATCAATCCCATTCTTGTTCTAAGGTTAGAACTGGTTCACCAGAATTAAACTGGGCAAGAAGTGTCGACATGGTTGAGGATTCAATATGAGATGAGATCGGTCAGTCAAAGGCTAAGCGAAGCGCGTCAGGTAAAATCTCCTTTACGTAGTTGATTAGTTATGTACGCAGTTCACATATTCCATCGTATATCATGTTCAAATAGAAGCAAGCATGATGAATATTTTGTGTACAGTTCATGTTTTCTAGGGATATATCGATAAAATATTTAACTTAAATTGATTCAAACCTTCGGCGATATTTTAACCAGTCAGGTTCTTGAAACACATTAATAAATCTCTTCTTGAAACAAAATATAAATCTCTAAAAGAATTAAATGAATGAGTTTTGACATGTTCTTTGGAACCGAACATACAACTAGGTAAAACCGCGCAAAGCATAACTTTTACGCCAGTAAATGTGTTATTTGGAACAAAATATAAATATAGAAGAAAGCACGTGCATGCAAACAAGAACAACGAAGAACACAATGTAAATATAGAGAAAACCACGCAAATGAGAACCTATAGGCCACTAATAGGCAAATGACTTAATTGGTACCTATGTGGTACCGATTTAAATTTAGAGACAATTCTACCATTTTCTCTCTACTAGCAAAATTATTTTTTTACCCTTAATACCTAAGTACCTAACCAATACTTAAATACTTTTTACATAGTACCTGTCATTGAGGAGTGTTGGATTTTTACCTATTTTGGAATGCAAACACAGTAAAAGATCTCTAGTAAAATACATGTGTACCTAAATAGAGAACAAAGCATGACAAATTAGTTATAACCGAGTATTTTGCTATGCTAATTGTAATTTGCTGAGGCCCATTGGAAAAAAGAGGATCGTAATTAGCAGTTCTGTATCAGTTAGCTGAATTTCACCCCGAAAATTATTTCCAGTGCTGTTATTTGGAACAAAGGAACGAGCCTCTTGAATTCATATGGAAATGACATTTTCCGAATAATTTAATATTGAGGACATTTAGCATATGGTCCAATCGGATTGCAATTTTTTTACACCCTTCTCCTTCAATTTTTCTCTACCCTTGGCCAATTGAAGCATCCTTCCACTACCCCATAGCACCACATTGGAACCACCCCTATCAGTACTGGTTTGCTCAGATCCAGCATTGGTGAGCCATTTCCCGCCCAACCTATAGCTACGGACATACCATAAGAAATAACCGATACTGATGACGCCTCATTATTGTCGGTTCTTGATTCAAACCGGCACTAAATTTGGGGAGACGTGGGTCATCAGTGCCGGTTATTCGTTTGCCTGGTAGTTTTGACGGGAAATATATAATTGCCGGTTTGACCCAAGAACTGATACTGATGCATAGTTTATATATTGTTCCAGCCCCTCTCCATCTCGTGCTTATCACGAGCTGAATAGGCTGGAGGCTGTTCTGCTACCATGAAGCTAGAGAAGGGGGCAATTTTTTGCTGGTTTTTATAGTATTTTTGGAGATTTGACATGTTTACAAGACAATAAAATATAATATGACGCGTAGATTTCTCATTTCTCTATAATCTTCTATTTTAAACCTAATTTATTTTTTTATATTTGTGAGAAGTAATTAGTATCGATATGGAGCTTAATTAATTTTTTGAGTGGATAATAATGTGACAAGTAATTCCTTGATTGTAGTATGATTGGCAGATTGAACAACTAATACTGCTACTCCCTTTCATCTAAAATCGTACTGAATCTTGTTTAGTTTGAAGCCAATTTTTACCCTACTAAAATCTTGGTAGTGCTAAAACATTGGTAAATTTTGACACTACCAAATTGGATAATATTCAATTTGAACTATTGTGGATAAAATTTGGTAGAAACCAAGCATACACTTGTTATTATTGAAATTACCAAAATTTTAGTAGGGTAATAAATTGGTATCAAACCAAATAAGCCCTAAAAATCATCAGATGATGTATCCCACATGCATGGGCATAATTTGGTTAGCTTATGATTTTAGCGATGTAAGCACTTATCAAATCATTAATTGAAGGATGCATGGATATCTGGTCAGAATATGGTTTGGATGGACTAGGTCGCAGTACATATCTCCGTCCATTTCAAAATGTTTGAAACCGTTGACTTTTTAGTACGTGTTTTTTTTAAGTACATGTTTGACCATTCGTCTTATTCAAAACATTTAAGTAATTATTTATTCTTTTCATATCATTTGATTCATTGTTAAATATATTTTCATGTACACATATAGTTTTACATATTTTATAAATTTTTTTAATAAGACAAACAGTCAAACATGTGTTAAAAAGTCAACGGTGTCAAACATTTTGAAACGGAGGGAGTATATTGGTTCGTGAATAGAAGAATTTGCTTGTAGTTTAATGTGCAAGATAGTAGTATTTGCTTGAGGTTCAGGGGAAACATATAAAAGAACGGAAAAACCTACATGTACAAAAAGAATATGTTACAAACTTAGGTCACGTTTATTTAACGCTGGGAGAGTACTAATGACGTCCGTACGAATGGATCTTGGTAGTAATTAATAGCATAATATTCTGTCGTACTTAAAAGTACTGCGTCAAAGCACGTACAACCAAATGTAAATTCTGTCTGTGCAATGCAAGTGTATAATTAGAACTTCGGCTCCGACTGAAGTACTGTTTCTCTAATAGCACATTCATTTGGCAATATGCTAGTATTTCTTGACTGAGTAACTACATGTATAATCAAGCATATTTTCCTGGTGAAAACAGTGTATATAAGTATATCACGACACATCACAAGAACCAGTAGTATTGCATTGTTGGGCACATGATCATCATCAGTGCCAAGTGGAATTTGAGAGCTCAATTATAATTTTGCTGACCTTACAACACCTTGCTCGCTCGATCGATGTCTTAATTTGTTGTGCAAGTCATTTGCACTGACGTCGTAGATGAGAGTCATGAGACTGAACATTTCAAATCGTGGAGACGATCAAGCGAACATGTCAGAAAATTATATAAACTCCTACTTACCCTCGATCGATCGGGCCTAGGTACACGTTTTAGTACGTAATCTTGTACTGTCCTGTACGACCGTTAATCAGCAGCTTAATTGAAACCATACAAAACACAAATATATGCAAATTAGAAATGCATATATATGATGTGCCTACTTGTCCTGATCCGAGTGGATCGAACGTGACCTTTTGAAACGAATTGGTCGAGTGCATTTTTTTATTTCTTGTCATCGACAAGTAATTAAGTCAAGTACTTAATCGACTTGGGCAGCTAATTCAAGTCATATCATCGTCGAATTTGACTTGGTGTTAATGCAACTAGTTACTCTGCTTGTGCAAGCAGACTGTACGTAATGACAGCCACTCCGAACATTTAGCGAGAAAGTAAGCGCTACGCCTGCGTTTGACATTGCAAATCGTACAAAAGTCATTTCTGCATTTTGATTTACATGCAAATTGCCTTGTTTCGCCTTGAGCTTGCATGAGCATGAATGGTTCAGTGCCAACGTAATAGACAGTACGGTACAGAACATGTCAAATGCAAAGCTAGGTCGTTAATTGGAACGTGCATATCAAAACAGTCAAAGAACAATTTTATGTACCCTAGTTGTACAAGGATAATCATTACTCTAACCATAATAGTCGGATCAAGTCAGACTGAAACTAACTACTTCCATGAAAACATTAACTGTTTTCTTTAGCAACTACTGATCGATACACTTCTGTAAACAATTGAGACGTACGGTTGACGATGAAACAGCTATCAACTGCAAGTACAATTAAGCACTCAAGAGTACAATTAGCCATTGTTAAGATGGCAAAAACCCCTGTGCTATTAGCTAACTAGTAGCTTATATAAAGCCTGGTTCTTTCAGAACCCTAATCACGATAGCTAGCTACACCAGCAGCATGCATGCCAGCATCCAGCATAATTAAGAGTAGCTAAAAGATCAAACATTAACCAAGAGAAACAATTAATATTAGGCATTTATTTAGCTCGAATAATCAAGTGATTAAGTTGGTGACACTTAATTAGGATGGCTAGTAATATTGCAGTCGTCGTCCTGCTCGTGTGCACGTTCATGGCGTTGCAGGCGATGGCGGCGGACGCCTACTACGACAACAACGGCGGGGGCGGCGGCGACGACAGCGTGACGATGCAGATGTTCGAGGAGTGGATGGCCAAGTTCGGCAAGACGTACAAGTGCCACGGCGAGAAGGAGCACCGCTTCGCCGTCTTCCGCGACAACGTCCGCTTCATCCGGAGCTACAGGCCGGAGGCGACCTACGACTCCGCCGTGCGCATCAACCAGTTCGCCGACCTCACCAACGGCGAGTTCGTCGCCACCTACACCGGCGTCAAGCAGCCGCCGCCGGCGACGCACCCGCACCCGCACCCCGAGGAGGCGCCCCGCCCCGTGGATCCCATCTGGATGCCGTGCTGCATCGACTGGAGGTTCAAGGGCGCCGTCACCGGCGTCAAGGACCAGGGCGCCTGCGGTAAGCAAAGTAGCTCGCCGTCGCCGCCGGCCGGCCGCTCGTCGGCGCGCCGCCCGTTGCTCACCGTCTTTTGCCTACGTTGGTTGCAGGGTCAAGCTGGGCGTTCGCGGCGGTGGCGGCGATGGAGGGGCTGATGAAGATCAGGACGGGGCAGCTGACGCCGCTGTCGGAGCAGGAGCTGGTGGACTGCGTCGACGGCGGCGGCGACAGCGACGGGTGCGGCGGCGGGCACACGGACGCCGCGTTCCAGCTCGTCGTCGACAAGGGCGGCATCACGGCGGAGAGCGAGTACCGGTACGAGGGGTACAAGGGCAGGTGCCGCGTGGACGACATGCTGTTCAACCACGCGGCGCGCGTCGGCGGCTACCGCGCCGTGCCGCCCGCCGACGAGCGGCAGCTGGCGACGGCCGTGGCGCGGCAACCCGTGACGGCGTACGTCGACGCGAGCGGGCCGGCGTTCCAGTTCTACGGCTCCGGCGTGTTCCCGGGCCCGCGCGGCACGGCGGCGCCCAAGCCCAACCACGCCGTGACGCTGGTGGGCTACTGCCAGGACGGCGCGTCCGGGAAGAAGTACTGGATAGCCAAGAACTCGTGGGGCAAGACGTGGGGACAGCAGGGCTACATCCTGCTCGAGAAGGACGTCGCATCGCCGCATGGCACCTGCGGCCTCGCCGTCTCGCCGTTCTACCCCACCGTCTAGGTCCTGCAGCTAGCCGGCCACCTCCATCGCCGTCGTGCCGTCCCTAGCAATAATGTGCAAGCCATCCAACTAGTTTAGGTGTTGTTACAGGGTCTGCAAGGTACGTAAAGGTGAAGTAATATGAACCGTTGATTAAGTGAGAGGAATTGTACGGAAATAAAATTATCGTAAACGATGGTAATGGAATAATTAACTAGTAAAAAATGATCATTTTCTTTATGTGAATTAGTGAATACCTTGCTACTTTGCTACATATCATGTTTCCATATAACCATGGAAAGGGGGAACAAATTATAAATCGCATTCCCTTGAAAATGAACAGAGAAATATTATTGTCACATATGAAGGTCCATTTTGGACCTGGATGAAATGAAATGCCACTTTCTCTCTTACTCTCCTATTTTCCTCAACTTGAAAGCTATTAGGATTTTAAGGTAGAGTATCTATCATCAGACTTTGCAGAACTGATCAAACTTGATCTTGGGTCTGGAGTAGTCAGAGCTCAGTATGCCCTTAGCCACAATGGCATTGGCAGCCTCCGTGAGGTGCACACCGTCCCAGCTAACAAACTTTGAGCCGTCGTCGCAGGAGGCATTCTTGTCCTGGCAGCCTATGGTGATGTTATAGTTGTAAGGCGGCCCACCATACCCGCAGCATGTCATCAGCGGCTTATCGAAACCTGAAGAACAGCAGTTGTAAGAAACTGACCGAATCCCCAAATGATTCGACCGAGAATTGTGATTCGGTATGCTCCGTTTGCTTACCGTATTTTGTGCGGTTCGCAATGAGGTCGTACTTGAGAGGGAACAGATCGGTGTAAACGATAGTCGCATCTTTCATCTGCGTGCTCAACTGATCGCAGAGGCTGCCCAGCGCTGCGTTGAATGTGACTGCAGCTCTGTTGTAGGTCTTAAGGCAACCATTTGAATCAAGATCGCTGTCATTCTTCCGAGGAATGGAGAGCTTCTGAGGAAGGCAGCCAAGAGCCCCTGTTCCATGAACCCAGAAGTTCCGGCTCCCATTGTCATACAAAGTCTGCATTTTGACAGAAGGTAGAAAGTTCTGTTAATCTGGCATAGTATGTGGTACATAATCTTGGTTCACAGAAGGGGGAAAAAAATAAAAACCTGGATAGCATCCTTGATCTCATCAAGTATTGGAGGGAACCTTGCAACTACTTGATCATAAGACAAGTAGGACAGAAGAGCATTAACATCATTTTGTCCGATATCTATCATGTATAGAGCATTTCGGAACCCTTCAGCATCGACTGGACCAGGTAGACCTGAGTATAACCAAAAAAAAAAAAATTGCTCATTGCAAAACCAAGGCCTTGTGCAAACATGGTGCACGTAATATTTGAGCTTCAAGTACAGCAACATTTCTGAAATTTGTTCTATTAGATATGAGGGGAAGATAAACAACAAACGAACCTTGACTGATGAGTTCTAAGGATCTGTCTCTGAAGAACAAGAATTGTTTCACCTGTATGTGCAATGAAAAAAGAGTATCCCGTGGTAATGTCGCTGAACCGGCAATGGCAAAATTTGCACCATTACTGTAGTCAGAACCCAATGCCTTCAGGTACGGACTCAAATAACCTATGTTTAAACTTTCACCTGGATGCATTTTGGTCATCCATGGACACAATATTAGTAAAAGGCCAAACAACTATATCCACCAAACTTGACATATATAAATCATAGAGGTATGAAATTTCAGAGATGCAAACAACTGAACTAGATGGAAGTATAGATGCTATTTAAATACAGTGTTAGTCGTAACAAAGTCATTTTCTGCAGTGGCACATGCAGAACAGGATTCGACAATCAGGCAACTCATGAATGATGTGCAAACTTGGGCAGAAGATTTTAGCAACTACTGGAAGAAAGAAGATTTCTAGCCAATACTATCTGATTAGGTAATTAGCTAATTAACTCAACGCCACCTGTGAGTACACCACATCTCTTCAGAAATGACATGCTACTACAATACCATAAACAATTAAACAATTTAAGATTAGTGGCTTATATCTTCCTATACAAGTACCGACATGCTGTTCATTTTGGTCATCCGGTACTTTCTGCAAAAGAACAAAGCTTAAGATAGGATGTATTTGCAGATAACGGAAGGACATTATAGGATCTTGTCAAATAATCACAGTCCATCTCAATTGCAACAACTGGACACTCAGTCAAAAGGAAGTGTGCCTTGACAAAGATAGAAAGGCGAAAATTACACACTCTTCGGTCTTCACTAGTTTCTCAAGGAAACCAACCGGCTTTCGGCTCTTTTTTCACTAACAGTCTGAATGCCACCAGGTGATGCCAAAGCTTCCTCCTCACTCGACGAAAAGCACAAGCACTGAATGTTCACATCAAAAGTCTTAGGCATTTAGTAATTAGTATCAGTACCTAGCCTTTTGCCATCCTTGGCTAGTTCTCTTTACAAAGCTTGGATGCTCACGCGCAAGCAAAGGCAAAGCACTCCATTTATTGGAAGTGGTGTAGGGCAAGGAGGTTCAGAAAAAGACATGCTCCCATGTCAAAAGAAAGAACAGCTGGGCTGTGAGTGACCATGGATGTCCTGGTGTTCACAAGGACAGGGGGATTGAATGAACACATGAAAGGCAGGGACCCCCAACCGACCAACTAATCTCGCAGCAGTCCACATGATGTGTGTGAGATGGATATTTAGTGCTTCGTAGCTAAGCCGTCCAAGATATGCAATTAAGTTCAGGCTTCAGCAGCAGTACTGAATTTACTCATACGGTACTGGAGAAATGGAGAGTGGAGAATCCTGCAGCTTAGAAAGGAGTTGCCTTTCGGAAATGGCAAGATGGCCAGTGCCCTGAGTGTGTGAAACAAATTTCTCCATTGTACGAATTTAAGGTTAATCTGGATGAAATAATTTGTGCTTCGGTGTTCTCATGCAAAATTCGTGCAAAAAAATTTGCGCCAAACACATGCTCTCAAGAAATGTTCGAAGTGAGAAAAGAGTCAGTCCAAGATCCAATGTGGATTTCACGACACCAGTCAGTTCAGTGGGAATGTGTTTTTCTCACTGAAAAAAAATAAACTGTTTGTTTTCTAATTTACTGAAGAGCAATGCCTTCTCACTGAAATTGTGGAAAGGTATGTTTCTCTCAAGTGCAAAAATCGCAAGAAACGCAGCTACTACTACATTCAAGCAAAGAGATGGTTATCGAAGAAGGCGAAGAGAAGAGAGAACTCGACGAATGCAAAAGCTACAGGAGCAGGAAGGGAGGAACAGGAAGGAAGGTGAAGATTAACTGACAGAGGAAGTCGATGGTGAGGCGGCCGTCGCAGAACCGGCCGGTGGGGTGGTGGAAGAAGGCGCGGCCCTCCGGCCGCCTGATGCGCCACCCCATCGCCGCCGCCATCCCGCCCGTGTCCGAGTTGGAGTCCCCGAAGTTGAACACCACCGGCCGCGCCCCGCCCCGGCAGCTGAACCCCGCCGCCGCCACCGTCGGTGCCACTGCTGCCACCACCACCACCGCGCTCCATAATGTCAAGAACGCGCTCGACCTCGCAGCTGCCGACATTGGATGACGATGACGACGACGACGAGCTCTGTCCATGGCCATGTGCCCCCACTACTACTCCACACTGCTGCTCTGCTGCGCTGTTTCCCTCTCTCTTGATGGAGTAACTCGGTGCAGTGGTGTACTGGGAATCGGATGGGATTCTGTGAGGGCAGCACAGCATATATGCCGGTGTGGGGATGGGGGGATGCTGCTGCTGCTGTGACTGTGCTTGTGGGGGCGCGCGGTAAAATGGGTGGTGGTGTAGGGTAAAACTCGAGTAGATTTCTTCGTGTTTTACTGCCAGTTTTACTCGACGAAAAATCGCTACCAGGAATGGTTAAGATGGCTAAACATTATTGGTTAACGGTAATGGTTCTCGAATCAGGTTTGATAGTACAGTCATTAGTGGTCTGATTTTGTTGATGGATGTCGTATCTCCGAGACAGCGGTGGTTTAGTGGTGATGGTGGACATATTGGACCATATCTAGGGACGGCAGCGAATCCAAGTCCAAGCGTCCAACCCACCTTGCCGAGACGCCTAAAATATAAAATATAAAGGGAAATGCTACGGGACACTATCTCGTTTGGGCGTGATGATATCTTTGAACTATTATCTAATACATGATAAGTATCAACTCATACTTTGATCAGACAGAATGATACCTCTCTAATGTACCTCTCAGGTATCATTCCGTTTAAACGGGATACCGTCGAGTAGCATTCCCCTAAATAAAAGTTAAATTTTCTCTTTTTTTTTTCTCTCCATTCACACCACGTACTTTCTCCGTCTCTTTGGGTTGGCCACGTCACGAATTCCCTTGCCAAGGGTGAGAAGAAGGAGAATGTTGCCCATGGATTTGGTTCTCAGCCGACTTGATCACCACCAACACAGTCTCCGTTTCCAAAATTAAGAAACGTTATTACTGCATGAGAACACAATCTCATTTTTCTTTAACCTTCTTCCTTTTAGCACGTCGGCCGTCGGCTGGGGCCTGATTGGTTGGTTGGCACTTAATTACTTGGGCGATTCTGTTTCGGTTTCAAGAAAGCTTGCAAGTGCACGTGAACCGGCGCTTGGCATGGCACGTCATACGTATGGAGTGCGACAGTGCGCCGTATCCTTTCTTCTTCTTCCCCTTTTGTGCGTGACGGCATCTGTAAAGTAAAAACAGACGCAGTGAGTGGCGGTAAGGGGTAAATTGATCCGGATCCACCTTATGACGTGTATTACCGTATGATGTGTGTATGTACTCGTGTGTCGGTGTGTGCGCGTGAATTGAAGTTGCACTGTGTGTACTAGTCGTGCTTTAACAATTTTTGCCGGTGGAAGAACTGAAGAAGGCCTTGCAGCCCATGGATCGTGAGGAGTAGTTGGAAGTTCAGGCCCATCTCGAAACAAAGCATGACTTGCATAAGCTAGAGCTTAGGCTGATTAAGGCTTTTTTTTTAAGTTTATAAGCCAGTCATAGCAAAAAAGTCTAAGGCTCTCTTTTATTTAAGTTTATAAGCCAGCTTATAAACCAATAAGTTTAAACCTAACAAAATAAGTTTAAACCTAACAAAGAAGCAGTTTTTTTTCGGCTTTTCTGGCTTACCCCAAAATGGAATAATTGTCCGCAAGTAAGCCACTCTTACACTATAAAGCCAAAAGCTAGGTTATTGAATTTTTTTTTTTGCTTATATGGCACTACTGCAAAACCATTTTTCATAGTACCATCCATTTATTTTTACTGGCGGGTTTAATGAACACATGTTTGTAAAGATACTTGAGAGGGATTCCGGTCACTGACCGCCGTTGGCTATCACTTAAGAAATCTGCTTGCAAAAGTACATCTATTTTTGCAAGTGGATCTCTTAAGTGATAGCCAATGAAAATCGGATTTCATTGTCAGCGGTTAAGGAGCACTGACTGTAAAAAAAAAGAACTACTCGGACTTCACCTCCTCCTTCACCCCATCTCAACCCCTCTGCCACCCTCGCAGCACCAGCCTATCCTCATCCTCCTTCTCCTCCTCTTCCTCTCAACAGCGACGACGAACTGTGACGAAGACTCGAGGGGCGAGGGTAGCGGACCTGGCCACCGGAGGGCCGCAGACCGCGGAACCGGCCGCGGAAGGGGTGTGGGTAGCGGATCTATGACCAGGAGTGGCGCGGGCGGCAGGCAACAATGATGACGGTGGAGGGGACGGATTCGACGGTGACGGTGCTCGGGACCGCTAGATCCGCCTTCACAATAGTGAAGAAAAGGGTGGTCGAGGTAAAAGAGGTGGATCCGGCGGCCGCTGCCACGACGACAGCGGCTGCTACCATGACGACCACCGAGCCTCAAGAAGGTTCTAGTGGCTCCAACCCCCTCCCCTCTTCTAGATCCGGCAGGCAGTGGCTCGGAGCTCGGGTGGTGGATCCAGAGGCTCGGGATGGTGGGGTCGCCACAGGTGGTGGAGCTCGGTCACAGGAGGCGGGTGGCGGATTCGGTGATGGCTCAGGCACGGCGGCGCATCCGAAGGCGGAGCTCAAGCGTGGGTGGCGGATTTGGGTTTTTTTTTTTTGCTCGAAAATAATTTTTCCTGGTGGTCAGCTTAACCTAGCTACTTAATTTTCACAAGCGGTGAAGATGGTTAATTCTCACTTGCATTTAGTCGCTGGCGGCAGCGTCAGCCGTCGTAGAAAACGTAAACGGGCTGTCAGGAAAAATCTATTTTGTAATAATGTGAGGTAGATGTAGGACTCCACCTTTAAACTTAGCACTTTAAATCCACCAACTTATAAATCATATAAGCCAAAAAGTTAACTTAAAAGTCTAAACCAATAGGCCTAAGCCTAAATAAAGAGAGCACAAACAAACAAACAGTTTTTTCATTTAGCTTTTTTAAAGTCATAAACCACTCCCTACACTGTTAAGCCAAAATCTAGGTTGGAGAAGTTTTTTTTTTTGGCTTAGTGAGATGAAGATATGACTCTACCATTAAACTTAGGACTTCAAATCTACCGGCTTATAAAAAATCTCACTCCAAATTTTCAATGAAAAATATTGTTTGCATAGACTAAAAAAATAGTGTTAGAAGAGCGAACTGAAATATTTTTAATAGTTTATAGTGTAAAATGAACCAAAAGTTAGTCTAGGGAGTTAAGTAATCCACTGGAGTAGTTCAGGGGAGTAATATGAACATCACACTTGATTCACGATAAACCAGCAGCCAATACCCGTGCTAAATTAGTAAAACCAGCGCTGGCTCTGAGTCATAGCCGATGGCTCACTAGATAACCTAACACACGTTAAGTTGGACCACATCACCAACGTGAGCCAGACGATCCACTAACTCCCACACATACGAGCGAGGCAAGGCAAAGCAAGTAGCGACACCATAAACTCCTCCTCTGATCCTTCCTGCTGCGTTGCTCCCCTCGCTATTGCAACGCCGGAACCTCCCCCTTCTTCCTCCTCCTCTATCCCTCAGCCATGAGGTGTTGGGTTCAGTCCCACATCGGTAATTGATGATGGGGAGCACGACTTTAAAAATGGGGGCGGTTCTTATCCATCAGACTAATTTTTTTGAGGGCGATTCTCACCTATCAGACTAGTTTTTTGGGTTGGAGCTGCGCACTCTAACAAGAGGAAGCAAAACCAATTCAATTCGTTGGTAGGGAGAATGGAGCCGCCAGATCTAACGACCGTAGCCTCCCCTCCAGTGGACCTCTCCATCTGTACCCATTGACCCCCCCCCCCCCCCCCCGGCGTTCTCTTTAGAATTTTCGCAAGTAGATGTATATCCACACCCTACAAATAGGGAAAGTAGATATATACCCACACACCCTACAGGTAGGGATGAAAATGATCATAATTGGTAGAATCTCTTCAGAAAAGACATTTGCTCGGTAAAAATGGATTATATTTATCAATTTAACTATTCAATACCGACCACAATTCGGCACCGAAAGAAATTAGAAAAAAAGAATGAGATTTTATATATTGCTAGAAACACCTATGGTCAGAAATAATATCTGTATGCAAAAACGACGCTCGGTCGGTCAGAACGTCGGGTATTTTCATAACCATTTTCGTCCCTACCTACATGAACATCTCCTGGAACAAGTATAGTAACAAAACATAAACATGCAATCAAAATGCTGTGCACCCCCATCATTTTCCTGATCAATTATTAAAAGAATTACACTTCCACACACACACATGTTACATGTTTGATGATATATGTAAAGCTAAAGAGGCCCACCCCCACAACAACACACTCTCAGTTTGGTGGTCCATCCTATCAGTCACACTACCTTCCCCATCCTCTGATCGTGAGCTCCACACAAATGTGAGCTCACCACCAAAGCTTAGCCAAAGCCAGCTGCTCGATCGATCCACTAATAATTCTTTCTGCAGCTTGCATTGGTTGTCTCTCTTGTCTGGTTGATCCACCAAATCAAAGGAGAGACATTGTAGCAGCAAGAGATCGATAAGGCTTAGCCGTCGTTGGGTACGGCGGTGGAGTTGACGAGGCTGGCGAACCTGACCGGCGGCGTGGAGTACTCGCCGGTGAGCACCCTGGCGGCGACGATGGCGTTGGCGGCCTCGGTGTAGTGCACCCCGTCCCAGCTCGCGAACCTGGCGCCCATGTCGCACAGCTCCATCTCCGCGGACATGCACATCTTGAAGTGGTTGTAGTTGTAGGGCGGGCCGCCGTTGCCGCAGCACGCCATGAGCGGCCTCTCGATGCCGTGCAGCGTGTGGTTCGCCACCAGGTCGTACTTGGCGGCGTACACGTCGGTGAACACCACGGCGGCGTCCGCCATCCGCTGCCGGAGCCGCCGGCACGCCGCGCCCAGCTGCGCGTTGAACTCCCTCGCCGCCGCGTTGTACGTCTTGAGGCACCCGTTGCCGTCGAGGTCGGAGTCGTCGTCGCGTGGGATCGACAGCTTCTGCGGCAGGCACCCCAGCGCCCCCGTCCCGTGCACCCAGAACTTCCGCCCACCGTGCCCGTACAACGCCTGCATCCACCACGACGTTAATTGTGTCATTAAGCTAATAAAAATACTACAAAACGGTATACCGTTTAGCTGATGTTATGATGACGTCATCATGATATCTAAATACCAGATCTGGTATATATGAGTATCGTGTTTGATACCTTGATGTGGTATCTATGATACCATACTAACGTCAACACGTAAACATTTCATTGGAATTAATGGTATAGCATTCTATAGTAGCCCAGTGAAACTAATTATAAGCTCTATTTAGAGATTAAGATTCTACTAAGAAATAGCTGGTTGGTAGTCAATATCTAAAAATATGGAGAAGCTGACTTTTAGCTTATTTTTTTAATACTATTAGGTAACTAGAGGTTTTGAGAGAAGCGGTAGTTACTAAAACCTCCCCTAAATAGTACCCTAATCATCAACCAAATGACAAAATAATCGGATCATGATAAAGAGAATTGAGCTTGCCTCGATGGTGTACTTGATGTGAGCAACAATGGTGGGGATCTTGGCAAGAACTTGGTCGTAGGGGAGATTCATGTAGGCAGCGAGATCGTTCTGCCCGATGTCGATGGTGTAGATGGCGTTTCGGAATCCGTCGCGATCGATCGGTGTTCGCACGCCTGCATCAAACCCCCAACAGACAAGTGAGCTGGTCAGGACATGTTTGCAATAGTTTTTCTCTTTCTTTTTTCGTACGTGCAATCATTTACATTTTGTTTTGTTTTTGTCAGGAAGATTCTCTTCAATTTGTCTTTTGTATATGGTTCAAGAAGAGAGTACTGGAAATGTTTTGTAGGACAGCTGAGCAAATTGAATATGGGCCATATGATAGATTTTACTCCATCCGTCTCAAAATAAATACAGTTTTAGCATTGTTTATGTCCAACGTTTGACCGTTCGTCTTATTTGAAAAAAGATTATGGTTAGTATTTTTATTGTTATTAGATTATAAAACATGAATAGTATTTTATGTGTGACAAATTTTTTTAATATTTTTTATAATTTTTTCAAATAAGACGGATGGTCGAAACGCTGAGCACGCATATTTATAGCTACAGTTATTTTGGGACGGAGGTAGTATGTGCAATGTCATATCCAAGCTCAGAATTAATTTGGAGATGTAGCTTACATTTGTTTATGCTTAAGTCAAGGCTCAACAGAAAGCAAATTAATTTTTGAATCATAATTATGTCCACAACAACTAAGTAAGCTCTACCATTTTCCCTCCAAAAGCGACATCAGCCTCCAAATATACAATTTCCCAATTAGATTTTGGTACACAATTTATCATCGTTTTTCTTACTGTGATCTTACTGATTCTTCAGTGCAGCAAGGTAGGGAATCAAAATGTGGCCGGGCATGACTGATTTGACAGACCTTGGTTGATGAGTTCGATGGATCTGGTTCTGAAGTAGAGGAACTGATGGAGCTGGACGTCGAGCGAGAAGGTGGATCCTCCGGGCGTCGCCGTGGAGCCGCCGATGGCGAAGTTGACGCCGTTGCTGAAGTCGGAGCCCAGTGACTTCAGGTACGGGCTCAGATGAGGCGTGTTCAGGCTTTCACCTGCATATATGCAAATGGTTACATCACCACCAAATTAAAAACACCGCCTATGTCTGAATTGTCAATTTGTGAGGTGTCCCTCCTGCCTATTTCAGAGGAGGAAAAAAAAAACAGAGTAGGTGTGAGTGTGCAGCCCCAAATTTCCTAAATGAATTTTACTAACTTGAACCGTATTTAATAAATTCAGATAGTTTCAAATTTTGTCGGAAGAACACTTCACATGTCGGAAGAACATCCCCAAATTTGTGTATGTGATGTGCATCGTGGAATCGACGAAATGTGAAAAGAAAAGGAAAAAAAGAAGAAAGGTTGATTTATTTTGGGTGCCGCGGTATCTGGAAAAGTCTCCTGCTACATTTACTGGGGCAGATTGTGCAGAGGACCGGGCCGTGTGCCATTGATGTCTCGCACCAATAATTTTGGGCACTGGACGTCGCCCCCACAACCACTTGCCACTGCAGCTCAGCCTCAGCTCCCGTTGCTGCAGACGCTGTAGGAATCGCTTTACTATTTCTTGTGATTCCGCTTTGAGTAGCAGTGTCACATCTCATCAACTTTTGTTAACTTCACCTCGACCCCCATCCCTTTCCCCTCTTGCTTTCCCTGCGGTTTCGGCAGTTGGATAATACTTGTACTCGTATTTGTTACTCTCTCTCTCTCTCTCTCTCTTATTTTTTTTCATCAAGAAAACTGCGGCTTCGGTTTGTTTTCAGTTCAGAAACTGGAAGAAGTTCTCATATTTCTTTCTTCTCTTTTTTTGGCTGTAAATCAATGTACTGTAGGAGTTTGACTGCGGTGAAATTGAAGAGGGTGAAGTAGTAGAGTGATGGTGAGTGGGAGTGGCATTGTGGCAAAAGAGAGAGAGAGACTGACAGATGAAGTCGATGACGAGGCGGCCGTCGGAGATGCGGCCGGTGGGGCGGCGGAAGTAGGTGCGCCCCTCCGGCAGCGCGATGTTCAACCCCATCGCCGCCGCCATCCCGCCGGTGTCCGAGTTGGAGTCGCCGAAGTTGAAGATCACCACGCGAGAGGGAGACCGCCCCCCGCCGGCGCCGCCACCACCCGTCGTCGCAGCAGCGCTAGTACCAGTGCCACCGACGGTGGTCGCCGCCGCCCCAGCTGCGGCAAGGCTAGCGCCGTCGCCGTTGCCCCAGAAGCCGTAGCCGACGGCGGCCACGGCGGCGGCAGTAGGCGTGTACCTGAGGCAGGCGAGGAGCACCACCGCCGTCACCCCGCCCAGCACCACGTAGTACTGCAGCCGCAGGCTCATCACCTTGCCGCCGCCGCCACCGCCGGCGGTCACCAACCCACTCGTCATATTGTCGCCACAACGTCAACCGAAATGCGGCGAAGCGGCGGCGAGGGAGGCTACCAAAAGCCTCCTCCTGCTCTCCGGGAGCTCACTTGTCGTGGAGCTAGGTAGCTATAGCTACTTCTAGTTGGAGACAAGAAAGAGGTAGAGAGAGAGAGAGAGAGAGAGAGGAGGAGGAGGAGGAGGAGAAGAAGGTGGAAAGGTGATGTGAGGGCGTACGCGCGCGGCGGCCGCGTGGTGGAAATGTAATGGAGGCGAGGCGAGGTGAGGCGCGAGGAGTCAAAAAGAGATGGGATTTGTGAGGGGGGGGGGGGGGGGGGGGTTGGTGGCGGGGAGGCTTTCGCCGCGCGGTGGCCGGAACGGCGACGCTGCATCGGCCGGGGCTGGCTGGCTGGCTGGCTACTGGATTCTGCACATTTTAGTCCTTCTAGAAACATGTATTTTACAAATAGACCTTTAGATTGGGGAAATCCTTATTCTTCGCACGCACGCTTCCTAGACTACCAAATAGTATATATTTTTTTAAAAAAAAAACTAGAAAGTTATTTTTGAAAATCATATTAATCTATTTTCTAAAAAGTTAAAATAATCAATAATCAATAGCCAATGGTTCATCTTGTTTTACGTTTTTTTTTTCTTCCTCTCAAACACACGCTTATTAAAGATATATCCTTGTTCGACATGTTATCACTGCCTCGGGGCAAGTCAATTTGGTGCCAACCTCCGCCGTCTAAGGTTTTTTCTACTACCATTCTCCCATCATATTGATTTATGGTTAATTTTTTTTTATAAAAATGGCATTTTTAGAACTATAAAAAAGCATATGAACATATTTTCCTCTGTCCTTAAAAGACTAATTTCTGGTTATGAATCTAAACATGGTTTATGTCTAAATGTGTGACCTTTTTTTTACTGAGAGTGTGTGCTTCATTTCTATAATTTTTTTATTTCAAAAACCTTAATATGGAGAAGTTTGTTGGTCCCTTCATTCTTCCAATTTATTGACTTTTTCAGAACTTGACACCGGATTAATACGATTTAGCGATTTATCTAAAATGAATTAGGATATATTGATTTGTCAGTTCTCTCGCAATCTAACAACACAAATCAATAGGAAGAAGAGAAAGGGAATTTGTTCCAAGGTGGCGGAGACCGGTGTCACCTTAATTGGCGTCGAGACATTCCACCTTGGGCTGTGTTTAGTTCACACAAAAATTGGAAGTTTGGTTGAAATTGAAACGATGTGACGGAAAAATTGGAAGTTTGTGTGTGTAGGAAAGTTTTGATGTGATGGAAAAGTTAGAAGTTTAAAGAATTATTTTGGAACTAAACACGGCCTTGGTACCAATGTCTCTAGCACGAGTTAGAGATCTATGACTACGATTAAGTTTTTTAGGGCCTATTCGCAAAATGTTTTCTAGAAAAGACTAAGGGCCATTTTGGATTGGAGCCAAAATGTGACCTTAATTTGTTGGTATCTTGAATAGTGATAGTGTATATTTGAATTGTAGCCAAATTATTGGTAATGCCTATTAACAATTTGGCACTAATCTAGACTTTCTTCTCTCTATCATCAATATTTGGCTTTAAATTGGTAGCAATTCAAATATGTACCATACATCTCTACCCTACTAAAAAATTGATAGTGCCAAAATAGACTAAAAGTGTGGCACTACCAAAGATTTGGTAGGGTAAAGAAACAAACAGACCCCAAAATGTCAAATCCAACGGTGGCTGGCTCGAATGCTCGATCAGTACTGGTAGGTGGCGATGGTGTCATATATCGAGCCGCATGGCGACACACGGCCCCGGCGTGCATGTGTACGGGCATTAGCACCGACTCGATCGATCACACGCACTGGGGTATCCATGATGCTACTACGGATCATCGTATGATACTACTACTGGATATGTTTGTGATTTGTCGGTCTCGATCGCTTTTAGTAGTGGGGAAGGGAGAGTTGATAATGAGGGGTTTTGCATTGCCCGGTACCACCGTTTTAATTCGTGTGTTGTGTGGCTATTGATTGATGGATCGCTGTCTGCTTCTGTACGTAGCTGTGGCGTAAACTAGGGGAGAGTAATTAAAAAGACCGTGCGCGTGCGTGGCAACGCCTAGCTTGTTTAATTTGCAGCTTCATCAGTTTTCTCCTTTTCCTTTCGGCGATTTATTGCGGGTACGGATGAATCGATCTAGTGGGAATGAGAAAAATTTGGAGGAATTTTGCTGGATTATTGGAGGAACCGAAGGAATTTCACCAGAATTTTAGAGGAATCAAATCTGTTTTCTGTGAAATTCTTATTAAATTCCTACGTTCGGTAGGAGCACTCAAGTTTTTTCTCGCATTTTCTCACAAATTCATAGGTGACTGGTCATCTAACAAAGGCATGTTTTTTGAGAAGGGAGTTGATGGGAAGAGTTCAATTTCATAGAATTCGAAACCTGGCCGAAACAACCATGAATATCGAGCAATTTTGGGTGATTTGATCCTCTACACGCAAATTTGACGAGGAGAAGATGCATGACGCATACTGCCTCTTTTTGTGCATGTCACTCATGGCAACCCTAGAAAACATGTACTCCCTCCGTTCCATAATATTACAACATAAGATTGGATGTGATGTTTCATAGTACAATGAATCTGGACATGCATCTGTCCAGATTCGTTGTACTATGAAACGTCCCATCCAGTCCAAGATTTTAATATTATGGGACAGAGGGAGTACGTTTGAAGCGGTGGATTATTATTGCGGATTGTCTAATTAAATAGTTATCTAAGCAATACAGATTAATAAGAGAGACGTTTGCTGGGAGTACGTGGAGCAAATAATTTGCAGTAATTATAATTCAATAAAGTGAACGGAGTTGTGATTTGGGAAGATCAAGTGCGAGCGGACCAAAGAAAACGGTGACCACTGTGCAGTGTGCACCACACAACACCTACACACGTCCGTGACGACCCATCGCAGCGCAGGTTGCGCGGTCGCGGCCTCAACTTCAACCGATGGATGCGTGGGTGCCGCCCCGACGGGCGACAGGTATAAATTAGAGCTTTTCCTTCAACCGTCGTCCCAAGTGACAACGATTGCCTAATACTAAGCAGGGAGTAGCAGCGTACATTATTAGCTTGCAACTTGCAAAGGATGTGCTGCATTGCATCACAGGACGGACGGACGGACGGACGGGACGTCTTCTTATGTTGTGTCCCTGAAATCTGGAAAGATGACAAACCCAATACAGGATGAAAACGCTGTACCACCACGTACCAATTCAACTCTCTCTTTTCCATGTCCACCATCAAGGCTAAAACCTCGCTCTCACAGGTCACATCTGATTTGAGACTTCAGGAGGAAAAAAGCTACAGATGGAAGCATGCATGTGGTGTGTGCTTAGCCTTAGCAAACAAACAAATCAGTAGCTAGCCCGTCCGAAATCAGAGGGGAATGCAACAGCAACACAAAAGGGGATAGAACAGCAACAGGCAAGGATCACAGCCGCACAACACAAACACCAGCAAACCATAGCAAAGCATGCAAGCCTTTTACTGGGAACACGTACAAAGCAAATCGAGTGCCAAAACTGGGGAACCCATTCAGTCCCAAATCACTTTCTTCTCTTCATATGTTTAGAGAGTACGTCTTGTATTCATCCTTTCCTTCCTTTCAAAAGAAAGAACAAAATTTCTCCACCAGGGAACTACTAGAATCTATGATGTTTTTTTTCTTTCCTTTCTCTTTTCATTTTCGTTGCCACATTTAAGACGAGCAACACTAAACAGAAGACAGACAACCTATGATGATGAGAAGTAATACCAGAAGCAGACCCTGCTAAATGCAAAAAAGAAAAGCAGACCACATTGGAAAAGCTTAAAAAGGAACCACACCTACACATTAGCTTTGTTAACCAAAACTGGCATCGAGCCAATCTTCACGACATCAACTGAGGAATTCTGATAACTGATAGCAAGAGAACTGACTCTGGCAACGATAGTTTCCTCTCTGGCTGTCTTCAAACTGACAGTTGCCGAGCTACAGTTAGCACCATTTGAATGCTTTTCAGGTGCTTTTGATTCGTTTAGATGCTTTTCATGTGCTTTCGATGAGCCATGAACAGCACTGTTAGGATTTTGCCCAGGGAACTCAACCTTCTTCCAGTACTGTTGTTTACTATCCACACTTGTCTTAACTGTTGATGCCTGTGGCTGCTTAGTCCCAGTTTTCACCACTTTATCATTAGCCTGCCTGACATTGCGGTTCTCTTGATGTCTGTTCTCTTTCCCGTCATCGCTGGCTTGTTTTTCAACAACTTGTAGGCATTGATCCTGAGGCTTGATCGCATTACTACCCTGTGGCTTCACTGACATATTCTGTATCACCGGTGTTCTGTCTATCAGTACGTTGCCTGATTTTGGCTGCCGAACATCAGTGACGTCTTTTCTTCGTTGAGCGACAGGAACAAAATCCGGAGCATTATGGCTCAACTTGGACCTTCTGAAATAATGTTTACTTCTCGCCTCATCCTCCTCATATTTCATGAAATCATCAAGCAAACACTCCTTCACTTTGATAGCCTTAAGGATCTTTAGCATAGATATTCCAGGAACATATGGTATCTGCAATTCAAATATTGAGCAACAAAGATGTGAGATGAAACCAAGGTTTAAAACAAGTCATGCTTCAATGATCAAATTACTAACAAACTACTTGACAAACAGAACATTTTTTTATAGAACATTACAAATGAAATTCACTGGCATTCATAGATCCAAACTAATTCGAGGAAGCATATTAAGCAAAATGTTACATCTAGAGTAGTTTGTCATGAATGCTTACTTCCTGTGTATCTCTGCTGTGTGTGACAGGCTTGTTTTCATTGTTCTGCAGCAAAATATGCTGCAAGGTATAATTAGGTACATCTTTGACGATGTGCCATCTTACTGGAAAGCTGCCAGTCCATTTATCCTGACACCAAAAGTCCATGTCCTTATGAAAATCAACAGGACCAACCATCTCAGCCATGCCACAGAAGAGCCCACTACCATTCACCTGATAAACAAGAAATCCCAGAATTAATATTTTAATCACAGACAACACTGAATAAATGTAGTTTGAATACATTAGAGGTACTTACGGAGAAGAACAGAAAAACAGGGCACTTGGTAGAATTCCTCTTAGCTATCCTGTTAGCATCCTTGAATGCAATGTCCAGTTTGCTGTTTCCACTAGAAGAACTTGACCATACACCATACTTGATTGATTTATGGACATCATCTTCACCAATTGACTTGATAACAAAGAACTTTGCAAAGGGATAGTCCACTCGGAGATCATCACTGTTATATTGGTTGCATCGTATAACAATAGTCCCTTCTGGATCACCAACAGAGAGCCTTGATGTGTAGGATTTTGCGATTATGGCAGAAGACTTCTGACCGCAAGGTTTATCCGCACCTCCTAAGCCATCCACGTTCGATAATTTCATCTTTGGGCTAGCACTACCAATACGACCACTCAAATTTGAATTAGGCTCAAATTTCTCTGCTGCAGCCCACCTCTGAACATTAGACCCAACAAAACCAGAGCCATTGTTTACAGAAAATTTCTCCTGTGGCGAATGCTTGGCAGCAGATCGCCTCTCAGGAAAATTTGAAAATGCCTGATCATTTAGCACAAGATTTGTCAGCTCAGAAAGAGAGATAAGAAATTTCTGCAAACATAAGCAATTAATCACACAGAAAGAAAAAATATGAACTTTTACAGCAAGCGTTGAAAGGCAAACAACCTTTCAGGATTTTTCTCTTTACAAAACGAAATAATAAATAGACTAGTCATGAATAGATTTCAAATTGGTACAAAAGCTTGTTCTACACAAAAACATTAAAGAACTCCAGGAATACCCAAAGTAAGTTTGAAATGCATCATAGGGCACACTATATTTGCAGTTACAAAATATAACCATTCTATGGTATAACATCAAAATATCTGCCAAGTGCAGTTACCACAATATCCCCACACCACTGGTAACAAAAATATGACCACATATGTCAGCATCATATTGAATATCATCTTTCAGTATGCAAATCTTTGTAGTATTATTATTTAACGGGTTGACTTTCAGAAAAAAAAAGGAACCTGATCAATTAGAAATAAGTTTGGTAGTATATATTAAATTGAGATAGAACTATGCTGTGGCCACAATATCACAATATAGTGCCATCGCCTACTAGAACAATAAGTACAGATTCAAAGGCACTACTCACACATTGTTCTAAACTTTTTCATGTCATAAGACAATGTTAAATCCTATAATTGTTTTGAATTAACATACAGAAGACATGGCCTAGTACTGCATAGCAACTGACAAAAGAGAGCACTCCAGCTAACAGAAGACCTGCAAGGACATGTGGATTTGCCTACCTGTGAAGTGTGAGGATATTTGACAGGCATCATGGAGCCATCTGCCAGCTCTTTCTTCAGTGGAATTGGATTACGCAATTGAACCTTGGGATCACTCGCATGATCCAGAAATTGCTTTGAGGTGACAATAGTAGATTGTATAGGTGGATTTGCAATGACATCATTTTTTGTGGCAACAGGAGGAACTGAGGGTAATGCATGATTTGTTGATGTTACAGTATAGCTTGGCAAAGTAGGAACATAGACTGGGGGGTGAAGAGGTGCGGTTGTGTTTCCCAGAACATTATCATGTGCATAAGGAAGAATAGTTGGAACATAATAGGGCGAGGGAACTATTTGGCATGTTTGGTCAGCAGCATCACCAACATATTCAAGGGGCAGATATGAACCGTCGACTATGAAAGAAGAATTTATTGGGTAAGGGCTGTAGGAAGGATGACCAGATCCATTGTCAGGGGCAGCATAGTACATGCACTGTGTGCCTTCGGTTTGAAAACCCTGCGAAGTAATCAAACAAACTAGGTAAAAATGCTCATTAGGAAAGGGAAAGTATAGAGAAAACCTGTCATGTGTACTAACCGGAAAATAGATGTCTTGGCCATCATATCCTAAAGAGCTTTGGTTATTATACCATTCCGTAGGTGATCCAACTTCTGCATTCAATAAATGTATTACGACCCGACAGCATAAAGAGAAATAAAGCACAACAGATAACATGTGGACGAAAGCAAGCTGCCAGTTCATGTTTTTACCTGTATAACCATACGGATAAGGATTCGCAGTTGCAGGAACATACACATTTTGTCCATAGATTTGTTCTGGCGTCATTCCCATCTCCATACAATTCACGGTTTGGAAACAAGTCACTTGTTTTACTGCAGTGTTCAGAACTTTAGAGATGTTATGAACAGCTTCACACATACTGAAAATTATGAAACTAACATAGCAATACTGCATAAAATGCAACAACATTCATGCCCCATCGTGTCTAACTAATTGTTATTTTACAGTTACAAAAATAAACCAGTGAAGAAGCATATATTGCAGCAAGTTAATCAACAAGCAGACAAACATAGAAAAGGAATATAAAAATTCCAATTACTGTTACTATGATAAAAATTAACTTGACAATACAAATGTTTTTGCCTTCTCAAAATAGGTGTATAGAAAATATAGTTGTGATCAGACTTAACAATAAGATGACAATACACATCAATGAGAGATTGTACTAAGTTTGGTAACCTGGAAAAGTCAAGTCCAGTGAAAGATCTTTGCACATAGAATACTTAACATCAAGATTTTATAATCATAATTTCAGCTCATTTTGGCTTCAACTATCCTAAGGTATACAGATAACATCAACATTGCACTAACCAAAACCATGAAGCGAAAGGGCAAGTAGCATCATGTCACAAAGCCCAGCCCTTCAAAGAAAATTCAATGATTTCATAACTTATATACTACAACTAACTAGTGATGCATGTGAATTCATCACATGGAACATTTGAGAGGCGAACAATGTAGAGGTGGTCAAAGCATGGTGCAAAGTCAACTGATGATTCTAAGCAAAGAACAACAGCGTAGCAAATCAAGAACAGAAGGGGAAACTCAACAATGCAAGAACAGTAATCTAATAGCCAATCAATATCTGCATATCCCTATCAAAAATATAAATGAGGAAGTGGATTTAGAACTACTGTTTGATACAGAGCAGCTAAGTACAGCAATGCTGGCCTTTAATTGAGACACTCTCTGCATGTCAGAAGAGAAACTAGCGATCGTCTTATTATGTTGTATGAATCTACCATGACAAAGTTTCATCACCGAATTTACCAAACAATACTAATATCATAAATGGCACAGGGCATCTCAAACTTGATAAAGGGTTGACAGATGGGTTGATTGTCCCTGCATCCTTTGCCTATTTGTTGGTCTCTCATTAGCATGCAAGGTGCAATTACCACATATGTTGAAACACTAAACAGGGCACAGGAAATGCTGACCTTCAAATACCAAGCCCAAGCTTGGCTCAATAACTGACAATCATGCATGTCCTAATTGCAGAGGCGAAGGAAAAATTGAGGTCGTTCTAGAGAGTAACAAATACTAAAATGATGAACTAAACCCAATGCCTGATAAATTTGACAATCCATATTCACACAACTACCTTTCCGGACCTAAAGAGAAACTAAGTCAACAGTTATAGAGGAACCCTGCAGAATAATGAAAAATCGATGCAACGAGAACGAAACCTAAATCAAGAATTCACAATAGCATGGCAAATTGGCAGTTCCTCTCCATGTTCCTACAGGAGAAGGGTTATTTGGTTTTACATGTTTAAGCTGCAAATTACATAATAAAAACATAAACACAAACAATTACATGAACAAACAGTGGACCACGCATAATCCCAACAAAGCGTAAACCTAACCGACTAGATCAAATAGCCAGCCGAACAAACGATGGCGCCGCGTTTCCCCGAGCATCTACGGTGAGATAGTCAAAATAAAATTAAAAAAAACGCGATACTAACCTTCACGCGGCGCTGCTGCGGCAGCAATCACGGGGAAATTCCTTGACCGCACGGAGCGGAGGGAGGCGGCGCCAACCTTGGGGGAGGAAGAGCGCGCGGAGGGGGCGAAGGGTGCGCAACGGCCGTGTGGGCGGAGGAGGGGAGAGGGGAGGGGGGGAAGGCGGTAAGCGGGTCTGGGCGAGCGGGGTCGACGGAGGAGGCGGCGGCGGCGGAGGACGGCGAGGAGGAGGAGCGGACGCCGGCGGGGTCGAGGAGGTGGCGAGTTTGGAATCGTGAGGGTCGCCTTTTTGTATGGCGGCTTGGGTTAGGTCGGTGCGGCTGGCCAGCCGTCGGGCCGGGTTGGGCCGGGCTGATCCCTTTAAATAGAATAGGAATAAGTTCACTTTAGGTCCCTAAACCGGGTAGAACGCATCCCTTATCTTTCAAAACTGGTGCAAATGTAGTTAAGACAGTATTGAAGACGTTTTTGGGTGATGTGGTGCCGACATGGAACAATAAGTAAAAATAAAAAAATCATGTGGGATTCACATGTAAGTGAGACATCGATCTTCTCTCTTTCGTATTGTGGATATTATGGGTACCCCATACCCATACGGCATGGTTATCCGACTAGTTATAGGGGATAACTTATATCTATGTAATATGTAACAGATCATGACTTGGGTGTTACGTTTCCTTGTATATTACGGAACGGCCTAAAGTCCTGATTTAGGAAACCGATACCGTATTGGTTAAAGTTTCTATCTTGTAATCCTGCCCCCCACCCTATATAAGGTGGGCAGGAGGCCCTCTAGGAGGCATGAGACAACCTGATCGTCAGATCAATACATACTCGGCGGATTCAAATCCCCAAACAGGAGTAGGGTATTACCTCTCATTGAGAGGGCCTGAACCTGTCTAAATCCTTTGTCTCCACATCCATCCACTTTTAGGTCTCGTGCGCTACCCCGTTTTATTATTGCCGAATCCATGTTTCGACAGTTGGCGCGCCAGGCGATTGACGCTGGTCATGGACTCGAGGCGTCTCAGCTTTCCAGTCGATCGGCCGCGAGTCTACTCCGCCGGCTTGTCCTCGCCACCGCCATTGCTGATAGCAACAACGACCTCACCACCGGCCTGCCTCCGTCGCCGCCGGCTGGTGTCCTTGCCTATACGGTTGGTTGGTCACACCACCGTTCATGGGCGTCCACGTCTTCACCACCGGCCTGCCTCCGTCGCCGCCGACTGGTGTCCTTGCCTATACGGTTGGTTGGTCACACCACCGTTCATGGGCGTCCACGTCTTCACCACCGGCCTGCCTCCGTCGCCGCCGACTGGTGTCTTCGCCTATACGGTTGGTTGGTCACACCACCGTTCATGGGCGTCCACGTCTTCACCACCGGCTTGCCTCCGTCGCCGCCGGTTGGTGCCTCCGCCTACACGGCTGGTCTATTATGCCGCCGCCGTTGGGCGTCTACGACTTCACCGCCGGCCTGCCTCCGTCGCCGCCGGGTGGTGCCTCCGCCTACACGGCTGGCCTATTATGCCGCCGCTGTTGGGCGTCTACGACTTCACCGCCGGCCTGCCTCCGTCGCCGCCGAGTGGTGCCTCCGCCTACACGGCTGGCCTATTATGCCGCCGCTGTTGGGCGTCTACGACTTCACCGCCGGCCTGCCTCCGTCGCCGCCGACTGGTGTCTTCGCCTATATGGTTGGTTGGTCACACCACCGCCGTTGGGCGTCTACGACTTCACCGCCGGCCTGCCTCTGTCGCCGCCGACTGGTGTCCCCGCCTACACGGTCGGTTGGTCACACCACCGTTGATGGGCATCGTCATCTACACCGCCGGCCTGCCTCCGTCGCCGCCGAGTGGTGCCTCCGCCTACACGGCTGGCCTATTATGCCGCCGCTGTTGGGCGTCTACGACTTCACCGCCGGCCTGCCTCCGTCGCCGCCGGGTGGTGCCTCCGCCTACACGGCTGGCCTATTATGCCGCCGCTGTTGGGCGTCTACGACTCCACCGCCGGCCTGCCTCCGTCGCCGCCGAGTGGTGCCTCCGCCTACACGGCTGGCCTATTATGCCGCCGCTGTTGGGCGTCTACGACTTCACCGCCGGCCTGCCTCCGTCGCCGCCGAGTGGTGCCTCCTCCTACACGGCTGGCCTATTATGCCGCCGTTGTTGGATGTCTACATCGTCACCGTTGGCTCACCTTCGTTGCCGTCGACTGGTGTTTCCGCTTACACGGCTGACCTATTATGCCGCCATTAGTGGGCATCTTCGCTTTCACCGTCGACCGCCTTCGTCGCCGCCGACTGGTGTCTTCATTGTTATTGATGGACGACTTTGTTCCCACATTGGCCACTTCTGCCATCACCAAGGGGAATACTACAAAGCTAAGTCATCATTTATTTTATTCTTTATATGATATTTTTTTCCTCTGCCTCACTACACCAATTGGTCTTCCATTGAGTAGTGAGTCGGGGGCTACAGATGTTATATCATATTTTTTATAATATTTATCTTGATTGCTTGCGACATAATCTGAGTACAAAAGTACCTATCGAGTTATGGAGTTCTATCTTCCTATGCTTTCCGTTTGGTTTGCCAATGGATGGTTGCCTTTGGGCCGATTCCTAGCACCCGGGGGCTCATTGGATGGACCGAGTAACGCAAGGTGCTAAGTATTATTCGGAATAAATCAAAAGCATAGAGATGAGATAAATTTATTTTCTGCTCTTAATAATTGCAAAAGTACCCGAGTAGTAAACTCCGATCCGTGAAACTTTGTTCCATTAATGACGAACTCATGTCACTCATATGCATGTTTGGGAAGTGCTTAGGCCGACTCCCAGTGCTTGGTGGCTATGACTAGTCGGGCAGAGTGTTTAAACGTAATGAGTCATCTGCTCGGGGAAATCAAAATTAACAAGAGAAGAAATACGTATTTATAAACTGCTTGAATTTTTCTCGAGTATTATATTTATATCAGATACTACTCATCCTATATGTTTGTTCTGCAGGATCCAGATCCAGATATGCATAAAAGGGATTCATGGCTTTAAGCTTATCTCTTACGCTCCAGGAATGGATCAGTCAGAACATCACCACCGGCTCGCCTCGACCGCCGCCGACTGGTGTTTCCGCCTGCACGGCTGGCCTATTATGCCGCCGTTGTTGGGCGTCTACGTCTTCACCGACCGGCTTGCCTTCGCCGCCGCCGACTGGTGCCTCCGCCTGCACGGCTGGCCTTTATGCCGCCGTTGTTGGGCGTCTACGTCTTCACCGACCGGCTTGCCTTCGCCGCCGCCGACTGGTGCTTCCGCCTGCACGGCTGGCCCTTATGCCGCCGTTGTTGGGCGTCTACGTCTTCACCGACCGGCCGCCTCGTCCGCCGCCGACTGGTGCTTCCGCCTGCACGGCTGACTTATTATGCCGCCGTTGTTGGGCGTCTACGTCTTCACCGACCGGCTTGCCTTCGCCGCCGCCGACTGGTGCCTCCGCCTGCACGGCTGGCCTTTATGCCGCCGTTGTTGGGCGTCTACGTCTTCACCGACCGGCCGCCGCACCCGCCGTTGACTGGTGTCACCGCCTGCACGGCTGGCCTGTTATAACGCCAACTGATGCTATCTTCTTCACGGCTGGCTACATCGCTGTCACTACTAATAGGCATCAGTATCTTCAACACAAGCTGCCTACGTTTGCCATGGCTGCCGACTGGTTCCTTCACTTCCATGGCTGCATGATTCTGCCAGTGTTGATTGGCCTTACCATCTTCATCGCCGGTCGTCTCGTCTGCTGCTGACTAGTGCCTTCGCCTCTACATTTGGTTTAGACAGCTACCACTACTGATGGACATCATCGTCTTCCGCCGCCGACTCGTGTTATGCCGCCGCCGACTGGTGCTTTTATCTTCACAACTGCGCGTCTTCACTACCGGTTTGCTTCTGTTGCCGCCGACTCGTGTTCACTTCATCACGGCAACACAACTTTGTCATCATGGTGGAGCGACTTCATCTTTATTATCTTCGGTACCAGCAAACTCTATTGCTGCTACTTCGCAAGTTTTGCTACTTCACCAACCACGACGTCTTTGTGAGCTTCGACATCTCGGCATGCGATGCCATGTTATTTTACTACAACAAGAGGCTCTCCAACATTCATGATTTCTACTTGGACATCTTCAACACATATCTTCAATCAAGCAATAACTATTCGACGACAAGAGGCTACAGTTCTCGACTCTATGTTCAGTTGTTTCCCAACTAATCAAAGAGTCGGGGGCTACACAAATACAAGGCTCAAAATTTGACAAATTTTATATAAGCCAATGAGTCAACTCCAGGAGTCATTATCTTCATCTTTGCTTCGGAACAGACATTCTACTTCAACAACTTCAAATATTTCGGTTTAGACGAGTTGGGCAACAACATCAACTCTCCTCCAAGTGAAGCATCTACAACAGCTATAACATTAATTTGATGGATTATTGTCACTGACATCATCACCAGCACCTCTGCTTCATCGACCCTGACATCTCCGCTGTTGCTAATGGATGATTATGTTTTCGCTGACTTATTATTTCACCTTCACGGTTGACCTACTATGCAAATGCTGATGAGCGTCTTTGTCATTATCATTGGTTGCTACACTGCTATTGGCTGGATCACCGACATCGTCATCTTCATCATGTCGGTTGCGTTTGTCGTCGTCAACTATTTTCTTCATCTTCATGATTGGTGGATTTTGTCATCACCTTTGATCTACCTCGTCTGTCACCGACTGATTATTTTGCTGCCATGGCTACACAACTTTATCGCTGGGCTCCTTCATCTTCATTGTTAGTTGATCTGTCTGCCGCCGACTGGTTTCTTCGCCTCCATGACTATGCGACTTCAGTACTTTTGATTGGTATCACTATCTTCACTACCACCAATATGTTTGCCACCTCTGGTGGGCAATATTCTCTCTATATTGGTTGTCTTGTCTCTATGCCAACTGCGTCATCTACCATCAATGAACAATTGTGACTACGTGCTCAGGGGCTTACTAGCTCAAATACAAGTATTATATCTTCAATTTGGACTTGCTCCGGATACATGCAACATGAATTCATGATCATGGGTCTATTTTATATGCTCAAAGACTGGACTATTTATTATTCCCCGTAAGGGTTATCAACTGAATACTTGCGCCAGTCGGGATTCAATTGTTACATCTATTTTGGAGTATCCCATAAGGGATAACCACTCAGATCAGAAGCTATTCATATGAGC